CCTAAACCGGTCTACTATGATCTTTCTACCAAAGACTAATCTACCTAGTCATGGGACTTTTATTGTCACCTAGAACCCATTAGAATCTCTACAACTCACCAAGCCTATTTCTGAACCTGTCCTTATCTCAACTTTTGCCTTTTCGATCTTAGTTCGTACCTGGATTTTTTTTACCTTTTTGTAGGATTTTTCTGTCAAACGCACGCATCTCGGGTTTCTAGGACGTTGAAGTTGAAGGACATCGTTTTTCTCATCTCCTTTTTTTTCCTATCTCCTTTTTTTTTATATATTTTTTTTTCTTTCGGTGCGATGTCCGACCCACAACTTAGACCCGAACCATCGATCGATGCACTCATGTCCTCGAACGATTTTCGTTACCGAGATTTTGACAGCGGAGTGTCGAGATGCTTTATTTTCCCAAGGCGTTTGTTGAACTAGATTTTGTCGACCTGCAAGATTCGAAAAAGGTTCTAAACGAAACATATAACCTGGATATAGTCATTTCAACTCCGTAGGTCCCAAAAAACAACCTTATCCTACAAACTATATATAGAAGTCTGGAGAATTATCAATTCGACACGGTTCAACCACATTCTACAAAGTCACTAGATCATCAAGATGTTCCTACTCTATCATTCCACAAATCCTCCAAATGATGTTCAAAACGGGTGTCCGAGGTATGCACGTGAACCTATATGAACCTATATCTATATGTCATATGCAATTATGCAAACCTAACAAAAATCATCTATATGAAAAAAAAGAAAACGAAAACGTGAATGCAACTAATGCAAAGTGATATGCAAAAGCGAAAAATTTTCCTAAGTCTATATGCCATGATAAAATGCACCTAAACTAAATGCAATCCTAAGTAGATAGGCCTGAATGGGTGAAGGATCTATCCACCCCCCCAGACTTGAACCATACACCGTCCACGGTGTAGACTCTCGCCCGGAAGAACAGAATCGAAAATAACGTGTGAAGAGAACCAGTAAAAGGGTAGAGAAGGCTTAGCTCTGCGAAATCCGTTCGCTCGCAATGAAGTTAACTCACGTCAAACGCAAGAGTGTTGGTTTAGTGCTCTATGATGTACTGTTTATGAGCTTTATTCAGATACATTTGATGTATTGATACTGTCTACGGTTTTATGAGAGT